GGTCCGGGGGGCATGCTCCCCCGGGAAGATTTGTTTTTAAATGTTGAAGTTAAAAGTATCAATCTGATGCACTTTGAGAGCAACATTAAGAGATCTATGGATACATCTCAACACCCATATGAAACAGAACTGTAAGCAGATTTATTTTTATTTATGGGTATTTTACAAATCACTCCCCTTTCAAACTGTATTCTTGTTTATTAATAACAACTTTTTTTTACTGTCATATAGTATTTTATATAGTAGTTTATTCTCTTATTTTTTTATAACTATAATTGATCATATACAAGATGTGCCTTTACCTCACTGGTTGTAGAAGCTTCTTATATTCGTTAGCATAGCTAGCTAACCAGATTCTAATTCAAAGTTATTGACTGTATGATCAGTGTGGCAGATGAACAGATCGCCACTGGGCTTACAACTAAAGACACAGCCACGCAAAAACTGCGGCATGTGTACGGCTCCTTGTGGGTACTGCAATCTCTGAAGTGCCCGAGTGACGTTCTGGTGCTCTCCGTCAGCAATCAGCATGTGTCAGACGCAAAGGTCAGACGAGACATATACCACGTGATGACACGTTAGGCTCGTGTTGTGTTCAAGGACCCTGACCTTGGCCAGGAAAAACAGGCCCTCCTTGTTTAATTATTTTGCGGTCTAGATTTCTTCAAAATCGCAAAAAAAAATGTTGCGTGTGTTTATAAATTACCTCGAGGGCCGTACCAAATGGTCTCGCAGGCCCTATACGGCCTGGGGGCCGGAGGTTCTCCACCCCTGCTTTAAATGAACCAGTGAAGCATGGTTGTGCTTATTGTGATCTCTCTGTGAAAACATCTTGTTCCAAGTTTGTTGTGGAAAGATTCCCCCTTAAGAAAAGATTGTTAAAAGTGTCAGAAAACTCAAACAGCTCACTTCCTGGGGTGGAACACCATGAGAGGCCTGTCTTCAATCTTCTGCCAGGGGCTCTTCTTGTTCTCTTCTTTGTCGTCGGGGTCGTCCTCTGGGCTTGTCATGGAGTCGCGGCGGTTCTCACTGTTGCTGCTGCGGCTGCTGTTCACGCGACTGCGCCCTCTCCTGGGGATGGTGGACCCTCTGGAGGACGGACCTTCATCGAGAAGAGGGGTGAGGGAGTTCTCCTCGGGTGACACCGGGCGTCCCTCGCTGCTGCTGGGCTCGCTGTGATCGGGATACGCCAGCTTGGAGTAACACTTCCCTCCACTGCTGCTGACACCGTGGCCCTTCCTTCCTCCCGTCCCCCAGCGCTCGTCTTTTCCCTTCCGGTTCATTGCTAACATCCGTTCTTGAGACTCCAAAGGTGGTTCAAGGTTGCTTTCTCGCCCGCTGCTGGGGCCACCCAAGAATCCACCAACACCGCCGCCGCCGCCACCACCACCGAGGTCATTCCCAGCATCGATGTAGGAGTGGCGCACATGAGCGTTATTGCGTCCATCCAGGGAGATGAACCACGCCCTTGGGTGCTGCTTGACACCAAGCTCCAGAAGTTTCTTCTCAGTCAGAGCCTGCAGCTCTCCATTCATCTGAGCCATGGTGGAGTCATTGAAGAGCACCGGGATAGTGACAGGTCCACCGGAGGAGTCGGACGCCCAGCTCGGGTCTTCAGAGTCGTCACCTTGGGATCCACCTTGCTGCTGTTTCTGGGAGTGGTGGTGATGGTGCTGCTGGCCTCCTCCCATCTGGGCACCATCTTTGTCTTGGTCCTTCTGGTCTTTGCCATCTTTGGAGAACTCGGAGGGCAGGCGCATGTAGTGTGCAGGGATAACCAGGGTTGGCACCATGCTCCGGTACATGTTCTCCTTCATCTGGTCGATGGAGCTGCAGAAAATGATCTGGCCCGGTTGGGTGTTGAGGGACGTGGGTCTGGCAAGGCTGTCTGCAGCTGCTGCCGAGTATTCCGGGGGTTTGTCACTCTGGTTTGGCACATACCCTTGGAAGCGAGGCGGGGATGGGGGATCAGAAGCGTAACCTCGGTTGTCGTTGGCGTTGTGGTGTCGGTGATATTCAGACTCCTTGATCTCCATGGGGCTGTAGCTCCGGTTGTAGTCTTCATGCAGCAAAGGGTTGTCCAGGTTGTTGGTCTCTGTGGCACGAGTAACCTTCATTTGGAAGCTTTCACCTCGTTGGGGACCTAGAGCATTTTTTCCCTTTGCGTGTCGAAGCATGTGAGCTGGAACATGCTTGGTTAAGTCATCCCTTGCATTCTGGTAGTCTCGAGATGGGGACATCTCAGATTTGTCATTTGAGGGGCCGGACTCAGCATGGCTTCCGCAGATCAGATTTAGGCGTGAAGTAGATGTTCCTTGGTCTCTTTTTGCACCGTTTAGATTTGCGGCGTGGGGTTTCCCTTGCTGGCGACGAGGTTTTAAACACTTCCGCCTATAAGGTAAACAGACACTGAAGGTCAGAAATGAACGGAACACCTGTTATCTTATGTGGATTACAAGAAGAGTCTGATCTAATATTTTACCAGGGTTCACTATTATCAATTATCGCCACCAAAATTCTGTGATTTTTGCTATTAATAGAAACCTAAATCTGAGACCTGCGCCTACGCTCCCCACACCTGCAGTAGTAGAGCAGCACACAGAGCAGGATGAGCACCAGCAGGGCCAGCGAGCCCAGGATGGAGAGCAGGAACAGGGTGTGGTAGGTGGTGATGTCCCTCAAGCCTGGATGAGACAGACCCAATCCTGCAACACAATTGAAGGTAGAATGAATCCAAGAATCACTCATTGTGTTTCATCAATACTGCTGCCATTTAATATTAAAAAATGTGACGTATTTTCCTAGCAACCTTGATTAAAATCACTAGTTCAAGGAAAGATATAAAGGAAAACTTATTAAAACTCACTGCATTTACACTAGTCAACCTTATTATTCAATGATTTAACATTGCTTTAAATGTTGCTGCCCCAAGGAATTGTGGGATTGAAATAGCTCATTTTTTTTAATAAGGTATGATCTAGTGAACCCTATACTAAAGAAATAAGAAATAAAGCATTGAACCCTCTTTTCTTCAGCATATAGTCAAAAAACATTACATGTATGATTTTTCTCCAAACCATTTTCCTGTGACCTCATTGGAGTGCGTCAAAGTAAAATAAATGACAATGCAGACAACAAGATTTATGTGAGGGCTTTGTTACTAAGAGGTGTAATTTATCCTAAATGTACAATTAAACAGAGACAGCGGATGGTATTGATGGCCAAATGGTGCATTGATATCTCCCAGTATAAGGTATACTGGACCACACTTCACCAAAGATAATGCTGTCCTACAATTTAAATGAACGCACCATTTTGCAAGACTCAAGTAACTTCCTCATCCCCGTTATTTCTTTAATTATAGATCAATTCAAAACATCGATCTTAGGAAGTGTGATTTTGTTTGATTCTGTAACTTGTGTAATAAATACAGTTGCTATAAAAAACCTACTACTATTGGACGTACTGTAGCAAGGGTAGAGAAGATGGACAGTATTGAGAAAAGGACAACCAAAGGAGATAAGAAAATAAGCATTGAAGTATCATCCTTCGCATTTATCCAACTCAATTGTAGCTGAAAATGTGATACTTCCTGGTAATTTTACTCAGATAGTAACCTTTTTAAGCAAAAACAGACTATTTATTCCAGCACGGCCACAATAAACTACTGTGTGTTTATGGTAATGAAGCAACAGTGTGACTCATTGACGTGATTTTAATCGTTTTTTGGACAAAAGTGTAGCCCTATGGCTTTAAACACAAACATTACTAGAAGACACAGTACATGTAGTAGAATATCACCAGCCTCATCATTTTAAGTGGGAGGTTTTTATTGTTATGGGATTGAACTTCTTCCAGGGACAAAATGTTCTATATGTAATGCTTCTCTCAAACAGAGCTCTATAGGAGGAGAATAACACCCCATACAATCTCCCTGTACCGATTTGAATATGTTGTTATAGACATTACAGTCTGAGTTCCCTTTTTCCTATCATCCCAAGAGACATACAGCAACTTCTGCTGGCAAAGCAGCTACACTAAAGATGAAAGCAGCACAAACAGTAGAGTGGAGGCTGTAGATGGGTTACAGTACCTGAAGATGAAGGGAAGGCGGCTAACCAGTATCCCATCTGAGGAACCACCACGTTCCACACAAACTGTTGGCCGTCCTTTTTGATGTAACCCGTCCCGCTCCGAATCCACAATCCTGCAGGAATGTAAATAATCATCACTGTTATTATCATTCACAAGAAAAAATGTAAAATGAAAAACAGGAAAATACAATTTGTGTGCCTCCATTACCTGTCTTAGGCTGATACAGCCAAGCAGGCACGCTGGTGGCCATCCTGTTGCGGGTGTCGGACGGCAGCGGCACCGAGACGTGGATCGGATCTAAGACCTGGATCTCACGGCCATCTTTGTCAAAGAGGTGAATGCTGACCAAGGCCAAAGCCGTCAAGTCTGTCCATCCAGTTTCTGCACCTGAAGAGACACATTTAACAATATCAGTTTTAATTCTTCTTTTATCTGTAAACTTTTGTGTAAGAAAAACATGATGGTACAGGTCTTTTGAGGCCCATAAATCATAAAAATATTTAAAAATACAGGTTCCCCTTAAAACATGTTTCATGTGAAGGGAAGGCAATTTAAGGACACCAGGCTGATTATTCTCCTACCTGAGCTGTTGGTCTCTTGGCCCAGCAGAAAGGGGAAGCCCCCGATCTCATACTGAGTCCTGGCCGTGGTCAGCGTAGCAGACAGAGCGGTGTAGTTGGAGTCTGACGGCAGCTGGAGGGACTTCCTCTGGAGCTGCACCAGAGGCTGGTTACGACCTCCTGCAGAGAAACACATCAGTGAGTAAACTCTGCAACCAGCTCATCATAAGGTGTAAATATACCGTTTTTTAGGGATTGACAGATACGATGCGAAACAATACGATACGAAACGGTACAATGTAGAGCGATACAATACGATATGATGCGGTGTAATACGACACAATGCGATATGATACGGTACAATACGTGGAATATGGTACATTGTATTACGGTAACATTTGATACAATACGATAAGTTGCGATACAATCTGATGCAATACTATACGATACAATAATACTTTGTTTTCAGGTAAAGTTGGAAATGTTTCTTATATCACAGCAGCTCCATTTGTAACATCAACAAGGACAAATATTAAGACAAGATACAAGGATACTTTTAAGATAACATTACAATTACTGAAGACAATTAGTTTAAGACCCTTTAACTTCTATGTACGTTGATCTGGTAATAAACTAGGTTTATCATGCAAATTCACAGATGTAAAAAACACACAAAGAATTTGTCGTCACGCCCCGAAAGACCTAAAGTGTTGCATAAAATAAGTTCTTTGTTTTGTCGTTATTACAGACACATTCAATGAGAAGATGGTCCATCATTACACCTCAGTCTTTCTATCAAAGTAGCTGCTTGGCTTTTTTAATTAATAGGTGGATGTGACTGAGCTTATTTGTAAAAACTGTTAGAAAAAAGCATTCTGCTACAGCTGTTGCTATGGTGATAGCAGCACAAATGGCACAGGGTTATGATAATGATAATGTGAAGCAGTAAAATCTATGGAGGCCCGAGTAGACACATTGGAGAGAAGAGGGGTGTGAATCTGTCTTCACTCTCTGCAGGAGACAAGACTAATTTAAGATGTGTTGACAGGGTAACGGTTGACGTGTGAAACTCACTTTCTCTAGACCCCAAAATAGGACAAATGTTACCCAAAAGGTCTAAATTTTATAAAATAGTCTGTTTTGATTGATTTGAATCCTTGGAGAAGGCTAACAATGATTTATAATTTCAAGGTATGACAGGATGAGCGCTCATTAACAACTTCATTTCTAATTTATTGCGGGTTTTTGGAGATAAATGTGTTATTTTCTTTACCTGGGGACCCAGACAGCACCTGCAGGACGTCATCGTACAGGATGAGTGTTCCTGGCCTCTGGACCAGGAGGTACAGGCTGACTGATGCATACACTAAAAAAGGGAAAGAAAAAGATGAACACAGCAGATTTCCAGGTGCAACAACAAAATGGAACTTGAACAGTTGTAACTTAACGTAATATATTACTTGTGTTACTCTTTAAGGTATCAGGATATCAGAAAGATATGGTTTAGATATTAACAGTGTTTTTTTATTTACATTTTTGAATGATTTTCCTTGAAAAAAGGGAGACACATTTTATTGACAAATAAAGAAGTGCAAATCATTCTTCATTAAACAACCCTCACACGATAATATAAATTAATTTCGAAATAGATAACATTAAAATGGAAAGGGGAAAACAATAGTTAAAATAAATTATTAAAAAGGAATATACAAAAATATATTTCATTGTTTTTGATAGTACTTTCCAGTAATATATGAAGATAATTCCTGATATAATTAATATGACCTGGACCCTCATAAGATACAATTATTAGTTCATAATTTATTGCTAAATAAACTGTTATATGTTGAAAAACTAGCAACAGTGATTGCTTCAGGTCTAATAGTTCTCACTGAAACTCCACAAGAAATTGATTAACCACAGCCTCCTTTAGCAATACAATCTCACTTTTGATTAGAGGTGTTATTATAAATGTAAGAAAAGCATGCACATTTAAAAGAAAAACACAACAGGTTCTTCTAAGACTTTTTTTGAGCAAACTATTTCCATGTAAGACTCTTAAAGCTGTCCAGATCGGTGGAATGAGAGAAAATAGCTGCACAGACAGTCATTGAGATAATTGCTGTGAGGCAGATTTCACAGATATTCATCAGGCTGTAAAACAAGAGGCGGCGAAAGTGCTCTTCATGCTTAATAAAGCTAACTGGGTTTCTTCCTCGGAGACTTACGGGGGATACGGCTGGAGTGCCAGGGCACGGAGTTGGTGACGTAGTCTTGTTTGGAGGCTGTGATGATGACCCATGAGCCCGTACGGTACAGGAAGTTGACTCTCAGGACGCCATCGCTGCCTGCCCGGCTCGACGCCAAGACGGTCTGGTTTCCGTGCACTTCCACCTGAGCGCCCGCCAACGGTGACAGGTCGCTGTTGTCGAACACCTGGACTTTTATTTGCACCTCTGGAAGAACATCGAGACAGATTCAAAGGATTAGTGATAGACAGGAAATGTTATGATAACTTCATTAGGAAACCTTGCAATAAAACGTAACTGCATATTTTTAAATATGCAAGATGGAATCAGTGAACATTGCCATTTTGCCTTATGAATAACTTCATTATTATCTGATATTAAACATTTTTCAGTACGTGAAATAACACGCTAAATATCTCTTCAGAGGGAAATTGTTTTTTCACAATTACGGCTGCATGATTTGAAAAACAAAGAAAAAAGAATTGCAATTATTTTCAGAGATATTGCAATATTTATGATTCATGAAATTGGAGGGATTGATAATGTCTGCATTATTATTCTTATTATAATTGAAAGATGAATAATATGATCATTGTGACGTTATTTTTGACGCATTAACAATTTGTAGGCCATCAATGTTTCACCATAATACTTAAAATTATACTTCCACATATTTTGCTCTTTGACGTATATTGCTCCTATGCACTAGCCCATAATTCAAACAAAAGTGTGCAGAAAAATAATCAGTGTACTCATATTCCACTGCAGTATTAAAGCAGTTATTACACCTGGGTTTGGCTCAATGATTTAAGTCACCTTGGCCGTCTTACAAGGACAACATCATTATGCAGCAGTGCGATGATGTGAACCGCCTAAAATGACCTTCAAACTGTAGGGAATTTGGCATGAAACGACCAGCAGCTGAACAGACACGGTGACCTCCCCCCCACCCAAACTAAGACGTGTGTGTCCCTCGAATCCCCCTTTTTGGCAATATTTAGTAGAGAAAATTAAAATATTCAAAGATAGAATAAGGAGCAGCCCCAGTTTGCAATGTACCCATGAATGTACAGACAACTATCCCTGAATTACTTTAATGCCGTGTTAAACTTAAAAACTACATTTTTGTCAGGCAAGTTCTGCAGTAAGAGAGAGCGTAATTCATCCATTTTGTGATTTCTAAGCACATTTAAAGATGTCTAGTCAAAATGCACATAGGAGATGATGATATCTGAAAGTCTTGCTGAATTAAAAAATATATATTTCACATATTTGCATTTAGATTTAACTGAGTTATGACTATTTTGAGTACCAATTCTGATACGATAATCCGGCGCTAAGGATTAAAAACTACAAGAACTAACTTCCTGTGGTTTTCCGAGGACTTTCACACCAGTCAGTATCTAAACCTCATAAACCTCTGGTGCAAACTCATCATTCCCAGCAGGGATGGATTTTGATTTGGATAGTTGTAGTCATTACAGACGCAGCCATCACATATCCATCATGTGACGGCTCCTCCCGTGTTTTTTCAGCCCCAGTACATTTTGTTTTTCATCTCGACCCTTGGACAGCGGGGATGTGGGTCATGCTGGGGGAGGTTTCCATGGATAAATGCTGTGCTAAGAGCTGTCGTTTTCTAAACCCCCCCCAGGCCTCTGGTGACAAACCCCTCCATGCCAAACTCCCTCAGTCTCACTACTGGCTGCATTCACATCATAAACAGCATGTATGTATGTACAGTGTGTGTGTGTGTGTGTGTGTGTGTGTGTGTGTGTGTGTGTGTGTGTGTGTGTGTGTGTGTCTTTATCCATTGTGCATGAGGTAAGGCTCAACTATTACCATAATTGGTTCAATAAAAAGGTCCCTTGTGTGTGTGTCCAGAGGATTTCTTCAATCTGGGCTTGAAGCAGCTCCATTGACACAAACACTGAGAGTAACAGTGTCACTTCAAGAGTCTGGGAATTTTCACCCACTCAGATACTTGAATAGAAAATCAACTGAGATTTAGTGGAGTGTTAACACTTGTAATGTAGGGGTGAATCATTATAACTTATACTATTTTTTCAAAGGCAGGTTTAAGAAACTAATATTTTGAAGAAATTAAGGGCTGAACAAACACATTTTGAAAAATGTGCATCCTAGTTTATCAAAGTTACAGGTGATGTCTTTAAATGTCCTGTTTTGTCAGTCCAAAACCCCAAAAATATTCACTATTCAGAGAAAAGCAGAACATGTCCATATTTAGGAGACTTTAAAAAGCATTTTTCTGAAATGTTTGCATGATCAATTTACTTTAAACTTTAAGACTAATTGCTTTCAAAATAGTAGATTTTGTTTCTTTTGTTGATCATTAATTTTTGCAGACCTTTAATTTAGACGTTTAGCTTTAAGGTTTTATCCTTTTCTTTAAAATATAATCAACGGATACTGCATCTTTTCTACACAGGCATCTCCAAACTGTAAACGTAAAAGCACAGGAGTCCAGCTAATGAAGAAAAGTGCAGATTCTTTTGTTAATTCATTGATGTACTGTTATAGAAAGACCACTGGAAGCAGTGAATCTTAAATAAATAATGAATTTTCTGAATAGTTGCCGATTTATTTTCTGTCTGGTAATTAACAGCTGCTGCTGAGCAGAACTGTACATTTCTTCAGACGATAATTGCTTCACAACATCTTGTGAATTGTTGGAGCCGCTAAGGAGAGATGTGCTGAGCTGTTCCAAACAAACACCTCTGAGGTATCAATTCATTCACAATGTAATCAGTGGCACAGCGGCTGGGGAGCCAAATCTATTCCAATTTACTCAAAAATAGGCCCCAACAGACAAACAAAGGACTGGAAGATCCCAATTTATAGGTTCTAATATGGCTCTGTTTAGTTAACAAATACCTTAGCTGTAATGTGTTATAGGCCTACTGTAAAATGGATAATGTGTTAGCAGTTTGCTAACATTGTAGCTAGCATATTGAGCTAATTTTAGAAGTTAATATACATTTTGTAGTTTAATCTTCAACAAAGCAACACCTTTTAAAAAGTGACCAAGTCTTTTTTGTAAAACCGATAAGATTTGGTAACTGTGAACTGTATAAAGCGGCCTATGAAGTACAAATACTCCATTACAAGTACAAGTACAGTAGCCTACATTGAAGGTATTCAAAGTAAAAGTATTGCACTAACTATAAAATACAGACCCTTTCTGTCTGTTGGCTTTTATTGCAATATGTATTACTTACTAGTGTTGTGTGTAAATACAATATTAATCCTTCTTTGTATTCTGTTGGTTGGTTACATAAATATGCATAATATTGTACTGCTTGATAATATGTTTCGTACATACAATGTCACTCTACTAGCCTATAGATAAATAAAGTGGAGTGAAACGTGTATTATTTCCCTACGAAATGTAGTAGAGTAAAAGTATAAAGTAGAGTAAATGTACTTAGTTACAATCCAGCGTACTGTATGTGTCCATCCATGCGGTTCAAAATAGCTTGAAGCATAAATAATGCAATGCAAATTACATAATGTCCTTCAAAATAAATCACCAAAATACAATCACTGGTGCATCGACATTCATATGTTTAGTTATGCAAATGCATTTTGGGCTTTTATGAATTCATAATGGTGTCCTGTGTTTTAGTGACACACACAGATAAACATCCTGTCAATGCTGTGCAAAGCAGAAAATAACACACAGGCCTGGGTTCCAGCAGGTGAGGCCTGACATTACAGCAGACTATATTTAAGGCCTTTATACACACATCTGAACAGTATTAGAGCACATACTCTCATGTGGCCCTCTGTGTAATATTACCTCATATTTTAATAAACCCACACCATCAAACTAACATGATGCAACCTCAAAAGCAACCCCTGCGACCATCCCCTTTCAGGGTGCACGATAAGGGGGTGCATCGGTGCAAAAAAAACGCAGCTTTGTCGACAAAAGCCATAAAAAAGCAACCACTCCCATCTCCTCATTGTGCTGCATCCCCTATAAAGCGAGCTTACCAAATGCTCCCTGATCTGGAAGAGATTTGGCCGCGCAGATCGAGACGAAGAGGAGCACACGAGAGATGAATCTGGCCGGCATCCTGGCTCCTACATCTCTAGTCCCAGCTTGGCGGCCATGTATCCATACTCCTTCTCCAGGAAGCAGCAGCGGGTCACTCCTCACACATTTAGCTTCGGATGCTCGCTGAGATGCTGCCGTCCGCCTGTGTGGGCTTCGCCTTGTTTTTATTGTCTGAGGGCATGAAGAGGTAAAGGGGCCAAGGTTTCCCTCTGCTGGGAAAAAGAGGAACAGCAGCTTCTTAGCCACGGCTTCCACAGATGAAATATTTACTTATTGTCAAAGCATTTAATTTATTCATTGCTCCTATCGGGATGTTAAGAGCATTAAATGGAATATAACAAAAAGTGTTTCTGAAGTGAATTACCTACCCTACCTTTAAGAGAAGAATGGAGGTACTTGCACTTTCAGCAGTTTCTGCTGCATTTATAAAAATAAAAATAAATCATATATATACGGTGGCCCTGAAGTGCAAGACACCACAGCATTTCATCAAAACACCACAGCATTTCACAAAACGCCACAGCATTTCAGAAAACGCCGCAGCATTTCACAAAACACAACAGCCTTTCAGAAAACGCCACAGCATTTGACAAAACGCCACAGCATTTCAGAAAACGCCACAGCCTTTCACAAAACGCCACAGCATTTCAGAAAACACAACAGCATTTCCGAAAACACTACAGCATTTCACAAAACGCCGCAGCATTTCAGAAAACACAACAGCATTTCAGGAAACACTACAGCATTTCACATTGGACGGAAAGGGTATTCCTTTAGGGAGAACACTTCTTGTTTGTGATTGGACCATAGACTGTATATATAAAGGATTGGACAGAGCCAGCCAGAGAAGCACTGCTGTGATTGGTTGTTTTTGCTGCCAGTCAAGAAATGACGCTTCGTGATTGGTCAACACCCGACAGCGCAATATGTCCCAACACATTAGCAGTTAGCAAAAACTCAGAGCTCACAGCTCCTCATATCTGTTCAGAAACTGGACAAAAGTTAAACATGTACAAACCACAGACTGTCTATGTCATGGCGAATACAGTCGCTGCTTTATTTATGTCTGTATGACGTTGTTGTGAGTGTGTACGGAGCAGCTAAAGGTTAGTTTAGCCTAATGGATCCGATTCCATTCAGAAAACACGTATTTTAAAAGCCTTTCGCCTGCCGTCTTGTCTGTAGACTTGTCAAAGCGTTAATTCATGGTTTTTACTAACCGTTATCAGTATGTAGTTACTTCGGCATCACTTTGAAACGTGTATTACAATTGACCTTTCGCAAAGCCACGCCCCTAAATGCCCGTTGTCCAATCATATTCGATCACGTGCGCGGCTCCCTGTGGGGGGCGTGGCTTTGCGAAAGGTCAATTGTAATACACGTTTCAAAGTGATGNCGTGAGGTTCATGTATTTTCTTCACTCCGCTGGGAAACTGCTCTCATGTCAAGAAGCATGAGATCAGTGCATGCACTGCATCGTCCAATCAGTGAGCGATACAGAGGACCTTTCTCACTTTTCTTATTTTTCAATTCCTCGCTCCTCAGTCTCGGTCTCACCGGAAGTTGATTTGTCTGCGCCATCTTGAGTAGCGTCCCAAGAAGCGAGGAGCGAGGAGCGATAATGGAGGAGCTATAATCGAGGAACCACCAGACCACCCTTCGATTAAATCCTCAGACACTCGCCCCGCCCCGTTACTGTGTATCGCTCACTGATTGGACGATGCAGCGCATGCACTGATCTGATGCTTCTTGACATGAGAGCAGTTTCCCAGCGGAGTGAAGAAAATACATGAACCTCACTCCTCAGTTTATACCGTGTTTTGTTTCAATTAATGTATCATTTAGTTACAAATATGTGATATACTGAACAACAAAGTGGTCAAGAATCTTTTTATTCATTTTTTGGAAACATTTTCATGATCACTTTTTTCGTTTTACATTTTCATTTATTGTCATTTCCATTCAGTCAGTCATTAAGTGCTATTCAAATGTTAATGTGCTACATATCCAAACAAAGAGACAAAGTGTGCAATCCAATGAATGTTAATCTAACTGGGTTTTGATAGATAATATATCTCTTTTTCTTCTCTCAATTATTTTATTTATATTGTGCACTCTAATCAATATTACATTACATTTAGGTGACGCTTTTATCCAAAGCGACTTACAATAAGTGCATTAGACCAGGAAGATACAACCTTGAAGAAAACAGAATCATATAAGTACATCAGGTTTCATAGAGCCAAACATTTCAAGTGCTACTCAACTGGCTTTAGATAAGCCAGCCCTTTATTAGTATATAAGTGCNTCCTTTCCTCCGGAGCGTCACGTGAAGTGACGTCCGTTTGTGATGACGCCGCACAGCTGATCGTCTGACAGCAGCTCTGTCCCCGTTATTTTCACAAACACCCCCGCCTCTGTTAGTACACATTTACTGACACAAACATTTGTATCATCTGTTGTAGACTCCAATAAATAAAATCAAATAAGAACTCATTCTCAAAAAAGATAAACGCCATTCTTAAAATGTATAAATGAATGCGACGAAGCAATTAATGCCGTTTTATTGTTTTTAACGTTGAAATGACAAGTGAACAGCAGGGCTGCCAACTCTCTCTCATCTGGCGTGTGACACACGCTTTCGCTTTCACTCTCAATCTCACGCTCTCACGCTGCCCAAACTATTCTCACACCAAAAACAAGATGAACCGGCGATCGTTTTTGGTTGGTTATTTACAATGTTGAGTTGACAGCTTCTCAAGCTGTCGATCCGCCCCCACCACTCTTAACAACGTTAACAGACAGCAGAGCAGTGGGAGCCGGTTGGTCAATCCCCGACCCATATTGCTCATGCGCAGATCTAAGATCCAGTAGAAATGATAAGTAAAAGTCTGCTACTTATTGTTCTACTAGGCCAAAATAGAGTCAAAGAGTATATGAGAGTGAGTGTGTTAATTAATATATTTGGCAGTTTGGAGTAAGTCTGCAGATTGGTCTGTGTGTGTGTTTCATGTGGCCTCTCACGACATTTTGTTGGATAGGCTATTTTCCCGGAAATTATTGCGACAAACGATGATACTGTCGGCACCGTTGTATGACCATTTTAGACCACTGACATAAAGACAATATATAATAATAATAATAATCATAATAATAATAATAATTCAAGTACATCCTTTCAAACTGCTAGTCACATCCTCATGTAAATGGCAATTTATCGAGTTCATTTTTATTTATCATACGATAAGTCAATTAATGGCTTATCGCGACAGGCACACAATAAAACAGTGGAAACAAACATGTGTTTGACTTTCATTAGTGAATGAAACTTTGTGCCCTTTATAGTCTGTCCAATATTGTGTATTTGTATATATTGTATATATCCTATATATATAATAATGTCCCTTTACTGACACGATAGCAGTCATTTAGTGCGCATATGTGTAATTAAACCCATGATATTAAAATCTCACTCCAGCCAGGTACCCAAAGTTGGCAACCCTGGCATCAGGTGAAGATGAAGTTGTTGCAGAATTGTTGTAAGTACCGTTTTCAAGACGACAATTCAGTGAAAAGACGGACATTATAATGCCGCGGAGGGGAGGGGCGGCAGCGGCGGGGGGTGTGTGTGTCTACAGAAGGTCCAGTTGTGATAGACACGGTTCGCCACTGGTTATATGTAATGTTGAACATGATAACAGTTGCCATTTTATGTATGAGGCAGGCTTCAATCTTCATTACCTGTAGCTAATACTTTGTTTCTGTTTACCTGTCCGTTCGTTTGTCTGGATTATGGAAAAACTACTGGCCGAATTTCCATGAAACTTCGAAAAATAACTCTGTTGTGATTGGTCAGCCGCTTAAAGATGTCCCGCCCCTTAGCCTATCATGTACAATGTGTTGGAGCGCTAGCCAATAGAAGTGCAAGAGTTATATTATGTTACTATGTTCAGGAAGTAGAAAGGAGTCCAATGGAGGCGTTTGAGGAGGGAACTTTGGGATTTTAGCCTTTGCAGACCATTTACATGCACTAACACATACAGGAAAGGGATAACACCAAAAAGCATAATAGGGCCTCTTTAAAGTATAAAAGGCCTATAGAGTCTAATTGTGATTGTTGGAAGAGCTGATGGTAGAGAGAGTGAAAATGGAGGTGAACAGGAAGTGGAGCCAGTGGGGGAGGAAGTGACCTGATGGAGGCGTTGGCTCTCGGGTTATCAGCCATGCTTTTCCCTCTCACATCATGCTTCACACCGAGGTCTCTGCTGCTGAGTTCCCATGAAACACGGGCTCTCTCTCTCACACATGATGCTGTTGGTTCCAGTTCACAGCTAATGTAATTGCAGGGGACTCATTGATGTTCGGATGGACTACGTTTCCCACCTTAATAACTTTCAATAGAAGAGTAAGGAGAACATTAGGCCTGGTATTCTGTTGCTGTATAATGTCTCTGTCATGTACTTTAATGAAGTTGCTGTATTACAATTCAAAAGGTTTATTTTCTATATGCTTAAACCTCATATATACATGTCTGCCTTGCTGCTTGACTTTATTTTGCGTTTACATTCATCCAAGAAACACACTTTACCGAATGTTTGAAGTCATTTGCAATACATTTAGTGACTGTAGAAAACTCATACTTGAATATTATATACTCTTGTTAATAAAAATGTAAGTCAGTAGTTTTTGATGATGTCTTTAAAGAGGTTAAAGGTCATCTAGGGTTTGGCACTAAAACACACACACACACACACACCCTCAACTACCACAACACTTCATCCATCATATTTGACATACCGCATGAGAAGCACATCTTTGTCTAATAGCTGTAAACAAAGGGGACAATAAATTAACTCTGTTGTCAAAACATTCTTCCATTAAGCTCCATCTTAGCCTGTACTTTAACAACAACTGATTTGCTGACTAAGACTGAACTTTCCACAAAAGAGTTAGGATCACACCTCCTCCATATGCCCTCATTAGACTTTACATAAAGTATTGGCACAGCTCGAGGGTGCAATCCAGGATAATCAGCATTTAAAGTAATAATTATACTCATAAGGATACAAATCATATCAATAAACAAGTCTTACTGTGATACAAATGCATAATGAACGTGTATAACGTATATTAAATACACACATAACT